TATTACAGCTAATTCATGTTGAATAATACATCTGACCATTTAGTAATTCATTAAAGGACAATTTCAAGAGACCTAGAATGAATTGAACATTCCTTACAGTTTTACATTAAGTATACACTTGAATAATAGATAGAAGAGTCCTGCTCCAGCGTTAATTAAATCCATGGAAAGCTCATGCCGCTTTTTGTTTTCCCAGAAGAAATCTGGAGTAACATGAATTTTAAACAGACTGAAATAAAATTTTAAAAAACGGACTTCGACATTCTATGAAATACGTCTTATTTATCACACGCAGTAAAATCGTTCGCGTACAAAAACCAATAAAAAAATAGTTCACACGTCAGCGTCGCATCAAAATAACTTGAATCTCGACCCCTTTCGTCGAACTCTCAGGACATCCTGTGAAATAAAAGATAAACGTGGTGAAAACTTGATGACCCTAATGAATGCGAGTGATAAATACGAACCATTAACCAAAAAAAGGCGGTGGCCGATTGGGAGGACTCACAGCAAATACTGGCGGACTACCCTGGAAGAACGGAGACTGTGGACGTCCAAATCCCGGGTTAAAAAACTGATTCGGCGGTGGACGGTATACGGGTGGGCCTGGTGGCGGGGCATAAGTTGACGGTGGTTGGACGTCCAAATCCCGGGTTAAAAAACTGATTCGGCGGTGGACGGTATACAGGTGGGCCTGGTGGCGGGGCATAAGTTGACGGTGGTGGTGCGTAAGTTGAAGAAGGCGGCCCATATGATGAAGACGGAGGTGTGTACGTCGACGATGGAGGCCCATATGTTGAGGACGGAGGTGCGTACGTCAATGTGGGAGGGCCATAAGACGAAGACGGAGGAGGTGCGTACGTGGACAAAGGCGGGCCATACGAGGAAGATGGAGGAGGTGCGTACTGGACAAGGCGGGCCATACGAGGAAGACGGAGGAGGTGCGTAAGTAGAAGACGGCGGGCCATACGAGGAGGACGGCGGAGGTGCGTACGTAGAAGACAGCAGACCATACGAGGAGGACGGCGGACCATATGAAGACGAAGGAGGCGCATACGTAGATGAAGGTGGACCATATGAAGACGAAGGAGGCGCATACGTCGATGAAGGTGGGCCGTAGGAAGACGAAGGGGGCGAGTAAGTGTTAGCAGGAGGCTGATACACAGGTGGACTAGTTGTGGTCACCGGCGGTCTGTAGGTTGGCCAAGGATTGAAGTAGATCGGCACAAAGTAAGGATTGTAAACGGGTGGACGGGACGGTGGCCGCAGATAAGTGGGGACTGGGGTTGTAGTGGAGCCGTAAGATTGCAAAGGTGGGCCATATGAAGTAGACGGTGGACCATATGACGAAGAAGGAGGTGCATACGTTGACGTAGGCGGAGGACCATAGGAGGAAGAAGGAGGTGCATACGTTGACGTAGGCGGAGGACCATAGGAGGAAGAAGGAGGCGCATAAGTTGATGACGGAGGTGGACCATAAGAGGAAGACGGAGGTCTGTAGGACGACAGAGGAGGCGCATACGTCGATGGAGGTGGACCGTAAGACGACGGCGGAGGTTCATACGTAGATGGAGGTGAACCATAACTGGAAGGCGGCGGTTCATATGTCGATGACAGAGGAGGTGCATAAGTTGACGATGGTTCCCCATACGTCGAACTGGCACCGTTTGAAGAATCTTCGAAACCAACATTATTTTCTGCCAAGGTATGCAGCGGAGATGTCTCCGCTGCATATTCTGCTCCGTTCGAATCAAGCGCAGAAACGTAAGCGCACTTGATGCATAGCAAAACAATTATCACAAAACTTAGATCCATGTTTGACCTGAAATCAAATGAGATAACAATAAAACAAGATCAGACATAGCCCAACCAATGCATAATGAATGGTTACACGGATGGTGAGAGGATAGACTACAGATAGCTGGGTGGAAACAGAAAATTAGAAAAAAATTACTCGATTCTCATCTTATTTTTAGTATAGTGTATTAGTTTTGATTGGAACATTTCAGAGAAATACTGTAGCTAATTTGAAGTAGAAATTGATTATCCGTCCTCGTCATAGAAAATTATTAATTATCCAAGTTTAGTTTCAACGTTACTGAAGGTTAGTTCCACTTCGGACAGATACGACTTCAAGTGGAACTGTAAATTAGGAAAACACACTCGAACGAATCAAGAATCACTTAAACACTGCAATGGACTTCCAACATCAGCTCGTATTCGCACAGGAGAGGGATATTTAGGACCTGCTTTTCACGACAACGATCACTCACTGATGTTTCACAGATCAGGAACGGTCGAGGGTCTTCGTCGACCAAGGACAAACCAACTGACCTTGCATCGGAACTTTCTCAAAACGCTGTTTGTTTAGCCTTCGGGAAGATTACATCACAAAAGAGCATCTTAACTTGATCTCACCTAGTCCGGCGGGTTTTTCATCACAGACGAGTAAATTCCATGAAGCCGGTGAACTGAGAAAATTAAAAAACGGCGTATCAACAAAGAAACGAACATACCGGAGGGCGCACAGAAAAACCATGAGAGAAGAACTAATCCTTCTTAATCCGCCTGTGGGTCGGCTCCAGTGTTCGCAAGACTCAATCTTGCCAACAAATTTTACATCCTGTCCCCAAAAAATATCGGTAATCCTCTTTTCTTTTTTAAAATCCCATGAAAACCCCAGGGTTCCGACTTGATGGAATTGCTTTCACGCCATTCCTCATGAATTCCTTCCCGGGTTCATACCCAAATACGGTTTCCGAAGTATCCTTCGAAGTGGAAGAAATCATTTTCCAAGCTGAACGTCATGAGAAAAACCGAGTGAATAACATTTTGTCATGGAAACCGCGATCAATAGATTTCGAATTCAATCACATTACCACTTTAAAGGCGCCAAGTATTACATCGCGAACATGGTTTTTTTAAATTTCGTAAAGTTTGCGTACGTGACGACGCGAAAAAAATCCGATTAAAATGGATGCGGGAATGAGCAGGGTCTCAATTCACGGGAGAAAAACACATGTAGTCGCAAACTGCATAACAGCTTACAAAATTCAGCATGAATAAGGGGGGGGGAGGCTGCTCTACTCTGAGGCACGCGACTATATAATTGAGACTTATATAACCATATGAGCAGGGTAATTTCCCGAGGAACCGATAAGAAATAACACAAAAAGGTTCACTTCGGTTTACTGGATTCAGAAGAAAGATCGCGAAGATCTATTCCGGTTTTCAGTTTTTTTTTTTTAACTCTTTCAACGACGTGAAGCAAGCATGCTCGTAAATAATATGCACTAGGACCAACGGTAAAAGCAACCATCTAAAACAGAAGAATACCACATTAATGATCAAGTTAGTAACGACCTCGGATAAACACTTCCTGGATCATTCAATCACGTGCCTCACGGTTAGAAGATACGCAATTAAGCGAGATTAAAAAAGAGAGGACCACGCATTTGACACAAAGGCAAGAAATCTGAGTCAATTTCTCGTACAAACCACCCTCTGTACGGAAAAATGATGACGGTATTATGCTTTTATTTTAACATATTTCCAGAGTTTCTTGTTGCTATTTGCTTGCTTAAAAATTATGAGCTTTCAGAGCAAATTTCCATGAAGAACAGAAGCTAAAATAGATCGTAGGTTTAAGTTCAAACTACAGTATAAATTTCAATTTATATTTGGAATAAAATATTTTTGACGGTATAATTCTAAATGTGACTTCTTTCCTTGCAAACTTTTCTACCATCTAACGCACATTTCAGACCTTAAATGACCATAACAGATGAAAATTCGTCTCCAAAGTGCTCTTTCTATCTTTCAACTGAACGCCATACCAATTCATGCACAGCTAAACGAATCGTATGATAGCCCGAGTTTTGCGCGCATTACTGGTTTTCTTTATCCCTCTTCCACGGCATAATAAAGAAAGGATGACTTGGCGGCTGCAGAACTCAGCTTTCCTACACCAGTTCCTCTTCACAAAAAAAAGTTACCCAGAAAAGATGAATTCTGCGCGGTTTTTTTCCTTCGACGCTGCATTTGATAAATGGCAGACGAAGGAAAAAAACTATACATTACCAACTATACAGCTATATACTGTATATATAAACTAACTATATAACTATATCCAACGCTCACCGGAGGTGAGCGTTGGATTCAGTGTAGATCTGTAGAACACAACATTTTGTAAAAAAAATAAACTGCGCATACCTCAGCTTTGAAAAAAATCCGTGTAATAGCTAAAATCATAAAGAACTACGGAAAGAATTAACTAAGAGAGTTAAAACTCCTCGACACGGCGTTATCGCAGTTTCATTCCAAGAACAGCTTTTTCGACAGAGTGGAAAATGAACAAAATTGTTCGAAAGGAAAAGGGGAACAACGGAGCACCACCATAAAAAAATGTCACCATAAAATAGCGTCGGGTAGTGACCAAAACATTTTGCTCAGCATTATCGAAACAAAAATTCAGAAGAGAAGAGACGAGTCAGCCATCATTGGAAACAACAAATACATTCCCTTGTTCGTTACGCGTTCTCGACATCAATGTCATTTTGGTCAAAACTTCTTCCTTCTTTCAATCATGCGACCCGACTTGGAGACCCGGGGCTAGGAGACAAGAAAACAAAAAAACAAAAGCCCAATTCTTACGATCACGACTCCTTCCTTTCGCTTTTGCACTGACGGCACTGTCTTGAATGCAGGATTTCTAAAAATTCCTCCCAAGGAAAATCCGATTAGGCGCACATTCCACTCCACGAATTTCTTGAAAGCCGAGCTTTAGGTAGAATTCCCGCTGACGGGCATCTTCTCGAGCCAACTCCGCAAAAGAACCGAAGACTCCTATGAAACAGAAAAATGCCTCACACATCGTCGCCATATCTTCCATTATTAAAAACTGATACTCATAACACAGATAATGGGTGCCTCGCAGAATAGGGTAGGTTTTCCGCATTAGTAAAAAAAAGCCGACATTAAGAGTTTTTTTTATTATTTATTCAAGTTGCTGCTAGATGTATGATGTCAAACATGAAAAAAATTGTGGGAATTTAATTCAAGAGTCAACCAAATAAATTTCAGAGGATTCTTGAATGATCCGCACGTCGAGTTGAAGCATTAGGAAATCTTAAATTTTTCAGTATAATTCAAGTTTCTTCACACGTTAGGAAATCGATTGACTCTACACGAATGAAATTATCTAAATAATTTTAAAATAATTCTTTTTAAAATAATCATTACCAATAGTAGTTCCTCAATAAAATCAAAAAGCTTCAGAGAACTTGACGGCTACACACGTTTAAGCTACAAAAGCAATTACTTTCTTCTACAAAACATCCATTGGTATGAAGAAGTTACGTCAATGCATTTGCATATAAACAAACAATAATTTGATCAAGACGTTTCTCAGTTCTTCACATCAGGAATTACTCTTCTTAATGAAAATCAGCGGAACTCCCTCGAAATACCAGCCACATTCTAGTTCCGAGGCTATTGATCGCCCACTTGAGTCTCAGTGCGAGCCGGACTCTTCGTAAAGGTACCCAACCAAGAGCCCCCCCTAGGTCAAAAGCCCCCTAGGGGGCTTTTGGCAGGGGGGATTTTGACCTAGGGGGGCTTTTGGACTACACCGCATTCGTTAACAATATACAGTGAGTTCAAGTAAACTTTTAAATACTGTATATAAATCATCAAGTCGTCAGTGGCTGCAATGGAATCGTTTTCTTCTGAATCTCGAAACTAAGCTTACCATTCGATCTCAGCGCAGCCATCACACACGTCACGAGCTTCTTCGGCAACGACATGTCTATCACGGAAGACAGGACACCAGCTCTCACGGTTGCCGGATGCAAGGACAACACGGGTCTCGGCACATTGGGTGCGCAACAAGAGTCATCAGCGTGCAACTGCTCCAGACTTTCCTCCAGCGGGGCAAGCATCAAGTCTTCCTCCACCCCGTTCACCTTGTCATCGTCATCCACCGGCATCGACTCTGTTCCTCCGGAATAACGAGCGCAAACGTCCTGCGGGATTTTCCTGGGGTACTTCTGGCGAAGTCGGGGTACCCAAGATGACTCGAGTTTCGCGCGGAATGCGTCATAGTCGGCGGCGCCGGCGAGGAATCCCACTATTTCTCCGTCCTCAGATTCAGCGACGAAACACATTTCGGAACACAGGGCTAAAAATCCCCCGATCAGCCTAAAAAAATCATCGGAATTTCGTTACGAATTATGTATTCAACCAGACAGATTAGTACTGCAATTATATGAGTTGCCCGGTTCAATAGATGGCATCTGTTTAATTCATATTAAGAAAGCACTGCATCAAAACGTTAACTGAGCAATAGAAATGCCACGTAAAATGGCTAATGGTTTCTAGAACCCCCAAGTGCCCTAGCCTCGCAATGTAATGCTACAGCCCGAAAAAAAAAGTTTTCTAAAGAAATTTCCTCAATGAAGTTTAAAATTAATTTCTGAATAAATACACTGTACGCTTAAACGAGCAATAAAAGGTACTGTAGCGGACATGGTCAAAGATCAAGAATATAATTTTCATCCACTTCAAAAAATTGGTGACCGGTCACCTGAATTCTCAGAGTAATTAGTCATTATTTTTATGGAAAACCTCTTTTCATGCAGTCTACAATCCGAATCAAAAGTAGGTGGCGGACCTAGCTCGTAGTGTGAAAAGTTCAAACACCGGACGCATCTAAAATCCAATTAACACAGTATGCATAGTACTCAAATTGAAAATGCAATGCTTTCATATTTTACGCTCAATTAACTCATAACGAGAATTTATTCAGCCATTTAAACTGGTATCGCTTCAATTATATCCCATTTCGCTAGGATTTGGCAATCAATTAATTTGAGGAACTTTAAAATTAACAATTACAAATGGAAATTTTTTGCAGAAGGCCCTTCTCTACATCTATATGGAATCGGAATACGATCACGTGATTATAAATTTTCTTACTTATCCGGGAGCACATCTGGGAATTCCTTGAACACTTCGGGCATTTCGTGACCATCGCTGCATGTCAACCGACAAACATTGTACACTCCCACTTCGTCGCTACTTCTATACGGCCTAACTGAGTAGATCTTCGTTCCAGGCAAGTCCGGCACAGGGTACACGAATAACTCGTTTGGAGAGTCGACAGGAATCAATCTCTAGAAATATCGCAAAAAAAAAACCCCCCATTTTACAAACGTTTACGAAAAAAAAAGAATCTAGGAGTCGAATGATCAGATAGGGATCACCACCTGAAGATCTCCAGTGAGTCCACCGCGAAATACCCACGGCTCCTGATCCCCACCCGTGAAAGCGTCCTTCCATCCCTTGGCAAACCACGTATGAACTCCGGTCACAAAATTTATAAAATTTTCAGGCAAAGGGATTGTACCTGAAATGATACAAAACGCGTCAATCAATAAATCAAGTCTGGACATTCCTGCAACAACGAAAGAAAAAAAATCGACCTTCCAACATGATGACATATCACCAGAAAATCATAAGGTAACGCAAAAAAATACAAGAGAAGTCGTTCTTACCAAGCCACATAATATAAGCGTTCAGCAAAGATAAAATCCCTCGCATGTCCCAAATGTAAGGATACAAAGCATGGACGAGAGATTTGTTTGGAATACTTCGAACTTTGCGTAATAAATGATTCATCCGCTCGGTCATCCTTCCGAAGTTTTCAGCGCGTTCAAGCCATTCTTGCGCCTAAAAAATAGAAAATATATATTTATACTGGGGGATTCACTCAAGCCTTACCTCGATCATACCAACGACTCGACACGTTTTATCAGAAAACTTTTAAAAGAAAAGCAGGATTTTAAATCAGGATGATGTGGAAATATTGAACACGGGCTTAAATCAGTAGCCTGCAACAGAATTTTGAGACAGTCCGAACAAGTCACCCGCTGAAGTTTGTGCACAGATAGTATTCCAGATTGCTTAAGGCTCCGAAAATTTAGTTGAAGATCATTTAAATTTTTAGTTTGATGAACGAAAAACTCAAATCATCAACAGAACAATTACGGCATATCTTTTACAATACGTCGAGCGATCAAGACGTCACCTTCTCTTATTTGTTCAATTAAAAACGGAGAACACGGATTCCATTTGCATCAGCAAATTTCCTTCCATTTGCCTCCGGAAATATTCAGATGGAAAAAAAACTTGAAATTACACCACCTGCTCCCTACACCTCAAAATTGAAAAAAAAAGAAAAGAAATAAATAAAAAAGCGAATCGCGTCAGAATTTTCTTGCGGAAAATGACAACACTCACTTCAGGTTTCACAGCCCCATGAACACCACGATCACGTAACGCTTGCCAAGTCCTCGCCTCCATCGCCAGATTCGCATTCGTCTTCAGCCAATGAAACTCAGACAAGAACTTGATTCCAAGCGGACCGTGTTCGTGTGGCAAGTAAAATGCGTCAACCAGCAACCGAACTTCATCTTCCGTCATTCCGTCCTTCATCGTCGTGTTCAAGTCTACCATCTCCTCATCCTTCGCTTCCATTCCGTTATGTACTGGCAAGGAAGGAGGCATGCAGACCGGAACCAGCGACGGTGGAGGCGGCAATGGAGCCAGGAGAACTTCGTCTGACGACGCCAGAGAATTCATCATTGGTACGGAAACAACTGTGTTCACAACTGCAGCTTGGGCAACCTGTAGGGAAAAAATCAATTGAAAATATTTTCAAGCACGGCAGGTTTTTTTTGGCACAAAATCACAACACAATTGGTGCTTTGATATTGCGGTAATTCAAAGCAACATTTCCCCCTCTGGAGCTCATTAAACATAACATCTCTCAAACCGATGAATAGAAAGTTCCCCCTAAAAAATAATTCATCCAAGTATTCAACGATTACAGTATTTATTTTGTAGTGCATTTTCTCTCGTCGAGAATGGAGGCGAAATTTTGTTCACTCAAATATAACCACCCCTAGATGTTTCATACAAAAATTTAAAATGACATTAATAAACAAACATAAGCACCCAAAGGTTTTTCCGGAGGAAAGGAAAAATGAAGTCAAACAACCCTCGCCCTTCCCCTTCAGTCAATGATTCGTGTACTCTATCTAGAAGCGTTAAAAGCTAACCACTCTTGATCATTTTCTAAGGAATTCCAAAAGATCTTTAGAAAAGAAGTGCTCCATCGTCATGTGGGCCGCGAACAGGAAGATTACCTGATATAGACGCACATTTACGCGAATTGCTTAAATATGCGAATATCAGTACCTACATCGTTTTCGAGCTACAAAAACGAAGGAAAACTACAGCAAAATTATTATCCCTTATTATTGAAAAATAAGGGATGCTTATGCTGTATTAGCGTCACTAGGGTAACTCACATCCACCTCCACAGGAGTGAGCTCGTTAGCAACTGGCAGTACAGGATTGACTGGCGGAAGGGCGACTTGAGTAGGAACAGCAATCGAGGGCACAGGCACTTGCACACTGCCAGCTATGGGCACAGGTACTGTATTGGCACTCGCAACTCCTATGTTCAAACTGAGCCCAGGTGCTGCCTTCTGAACAGAAAACTCCGATGTCCATTCCCGAACGGCAGTCCTCAAGGCTCTCCTGGGATGATAAACACAGTCGGGCAGGTTTCCCAATTCCTCCTCTTCGCCTTCGGTTTCTAACCGGGACTCCACTGTCAGAATTGCAACAAAAAAACCAATTTGTAGTTTTTTCTCTGTCACCTTGAAATGCTCCATGATTTCTTCCGACTATATTTAATTCAAGCAAGTCATTGAGGTAGAGTAATTTTCATTTCATGCAATTCCTCGAACAAGGATCAACTTTTCATTCCAAGTGATTAAACTGAGAGCAAGTTACTATTTTAGCGGTCAACAATACTTCTTGTGGTCAAGACGTTTACGGCTTCACGAGAGCCACTTTTTGACGTAGGATTCGAAATGTGAACGTATAGCGAGTTCTTTTCAGTATCCGCTCGATTCAATACAGAATATTACAGCGGAAAAATTTGTCGAAGCCTGAAATAAATGGTATTTTTCTTTGCGGCATTCGAATGCTAAGATATGAGTTAACAAAAAGTATATAGGTATGACATCTGGACAAGAACAGTAATTTTCAAAAAGTTAATTTGTGAATTGATTCAGGATTTCTAAAAAACGCGTGACGACGGAATTGGCAGTCGAGTAAAACTATCTTTTCGTCACTGGAGGTGTATTTTTCTTGGATCCCAAGAAGACATCTGCAGCATTACAGAGCGAAAATTCCATATGCTTAAAGGGAAAAAATATTACTTGATAAACCCCATGTGGTGAATTACTTACAGCAATCGTCTCGGACATCACCGCTACATCGGGTCCACTGAGCAAGGGTGTGAATTCCCACANTGCCCGAGGGCATTTTTCGAAGTGAGCAATATTTGTGGGTCAAAAAATTCCATCAAGGATTTGTATGTCCCTAAACAAAGCTAAAGAAATTCCATGCCTCAGCGGGAATTTCACCCCACCAGCTTCTTCAACCGTATTCAAAACAGACCCCGCAAGAAACGACTAAACGTTTGAAGTCTAATTAGTCGGACACGCTGCAAACGCGAGAAGCGTTTCCAACAACAAACGCTGACCATCCACGCGCGCCAGATTCACTTTCATCCAATTGTTCTCAATTGCTCACCGCGACGCCAACAACAATGTGCGATATCTCCAATAATAATTGAAAAAAAGAAGAAACACACTAAGAGCAGCCTCCCTAGTGCGGCATCAGTGACACTTGCTGAAAGGCTTTGGGACACCCGGGAAATCGCGGGCCACGGATCACCGCACAAGTAAAAGCAGGAGCGGGTATCGTCAACTTTGCACGACATTCGTTCAATTTCTATCAAACCACGCCGAAAGACTCAATTTCAGGCACGAAATCCCCCATTTTTATGTTACTGTAATAGAATAATATGCTACGGCTGGAGAAAATGAAAAAAGCACGAAAGCTGAAGCATAAGAGATCAAGTTAGCTATTCAATACCCCACTCTCTCTGTCTCGAACTTTTTCATGAACTTCGGGGCACTTGTTGTTTAAAAACAAGATATTCTGCTCTCTTAGACTTGAAGAATCGACACAGAAAATCTCAACGTTATTTCAGATTTTCAAGAACTAGAGGCTACTGATACTTTTTTCGTTCATTTGCTCATTTCTTTAATCTAGTGACATGAACTACGAGGCTTTAAAAAGCCGGTTTATTTGTGACATTGGTTTGGATAACTTCCTTATTCCAAAACGGCTTCTGTTTTGGAAGATGGTCGACGAGCAACACAATCGACTGATTTTTGCATTGGTCCCATTTTTTAAATATCGGCCAAAACATGCGAAACAATAATCTAAGAGAAAGAGTGAAAAATGGGGCTACTATCTGTTTTTTTTTAAATGAGAAAAAACGTCCCCATGTTCCGAAATATTTCCTTGACATCTTGAACACTTGCTTAAATTTAGCTACAGCAAAATTGTGGTTTTGAGGAGCCGTTCAAAAATTATGCATTTTACATAACTTGAAAATCATCTGAAAGTATTTGATGGCGATTTTCACGCTGGAACGGGACAATCTTGTCAGTTTTCACTAATGTGCTTCACATGGCAACTGCATCTTGTATAGAGCCTCTTAGTTTCTAATCTTCTGCGATATAACCGCTATCAGACTTCATGGAGATACGAAAATAAAAATGTCTGCATGTTTCGAATTTAAAATAAATCATTTAAAAATCCGATAGGTCCTTGAAAAGCCAGAATATCCGAATTTCGCGGCACTCTCGGGCCTCCGATGTCGCCGCAATCCGATCTGATTCACCACCAAGAGTGTCAGTCACTAGTTCACCGCGGTTCTTCGCTCAAGAACCTTCGATAAAGTTCAACAAATGCGCGATTTCCATACGTGAAGCTGTGGAGCAACAACAAAAAAACATGCTGGTGAATCTCGGGATACTCGTAGCAATTAGTGTAACCATCACAGCCAACGATGCAAAAAACAGCGGTTTCAAGGGCTTGAATACGCGCATCGGAGACATTTTCGCCGAAAACATGAAATTTTTCATGCCTTCGAAAGACGACGAGCCTGAACCGGAGACGACCACTGAAATCCCAGAGACGACAACGGAAGTCCCAGAGACGACCACGGAAGTCCCAGAAACTCGAGTGCAACCTCTGCGAGAGGAAGATAACGTCACATCTCCAGATGGCGAAGAAGCAGAGCCGACATTCGAAAGCTTTTTCGGTAAATCAGGCGACGAGCACCCGGAATTTCCCGACACGGATTATTTTGTAGTCGGTGGCGAGAAAACAAGGGATGACAGAGGAGACGAAACGGGCTTTCCCTCGTACAAAGAATTTGAGGATGATAATCCGGAAGATTACACAGACACGGGTTCTCCGGACGATTATGAACCCGCAAAGAACCCGGAGAAAACGGAAACAGAGGAGCCACAGGATCCAGAATCGTCTACATTAAGTGCAGGTAAGCCTAAATACAATACTGTACTGAATTAACGAAAACCGTACGTCATTAGTCAAATTACTGTATAAGGCGCACTAGCTTTAATTTACACTTACAAATTGATCAGAAACCAATGCACTTGGGAATGCTCAAAAAATGCTTGATCACGAAACGTATTAACATACAACTGAATATCTCGTACAACTCAGATCGAAAATTCCTTCCTGCGCGGGAACTTCACGTGGATTCTATCTACAACGATTTCCTTTAAATAAATATTTTTGTTTGGTCCCATAAGGATATCACGTAGAGGTTCTCTACACCAGAGTTCTCGAAAAATAATGTTTTCTGGGCACCAGAATTTTTTTGCAGAGAGAATCCACCGGCATTGAAAAGCATGACCCGGACCATGCAGAGAAATGACGATTCAAAAGATGAATGAAAGAATCTTCAAAATTTTCAGAAGTGACGCAGTCATAATACTTTTGCCAACTTGCAAGAAATTCACCCGATAGAAAATTAAAGAGAGCCTTAATCTCCAGATAATGAGTATTCACGACACCGGTCACGATCTGCTATCCAAAATGTTGGGTACTATTCTTTCAACAAATACGAAAAAAAAGGTTTATATTTTTCCTACACCACAAATTTATATCGATTCGTATTTCATCACTTCACAAAATGATAGTGCGTCTCGATTTTTGATGCCTCAAAAAGATTCTACGGCAATAGCTCGAATATCTCAACAATTTTGACAGATGACGATCATCAAGATCCCGTCGACCCAACGAAAAAAACAACTTCTCAAAATTCCGTAAGAAACGAAGCATTGACTGAGGCAAGGAAGCCAAAAACGACGCCTCAAACCACTCAAGAAGACGTACATCGTCAAATAACGAACGAAGCTGTCAATCTTCTACCACAACCACCCCAGTTCCCAGCACATCATGGAATGTACGCACGAAACTCGAATCCTTCGCAACAAAAAGAAGAAATTCAACACAAGGTAATGCCACGAAAACGGAATCCCAAGGCAGAGGGTTTCGTGCAGCCCATCAGCTTCGCCAAGTTCATCCAGCAAGCGAAAAGCAGGCCAAAATCCAGTGCACAACACAACGTCAAACACACACAACTCCCGCGGAAACATTCAAATCAAGGCACGAACACTTCATTTCGGGGAAATTACAACACACGCGTGCGTAGATCAACGCATTCAAAAATTCAAAAACGGATGGGTGAAACTCAGACTGGAAGCAACACTGATTATTTTGCACCACTAAAAAGGAACTCGAATGCGGCCAAGTTCACGCAGCCCATCAGCTTTGCCAGGTTCATGCACCAAGTAAAACTCAAACCGAAATCTCACGTCCAACACGATAAAACGGAACACTGGGATTCACCAAGCCTCCACTGGAATCAAGACACAGAGATACGCGTACGGAGATCGACGACGCATTTGAAAACCCGACCGATGCCTGGGGAAATTACGACAGGAAACCAAACTGATTCTCTCCAAGAATTGAAAAATAACACGAACATGGACAATTTCGCACAGCAGATCAGCATCGAAAATTTCAATAAGAAGTATAAGGGCAAACCGAAATCCAGAGAACACGATGAAACGAAGAACGTGAAACTTTTGGCACCAGGATTCCATTCAAACCGTGGAAGGCTGAACATGACACTAGAAGGCAACGACAACAAGCGACTTCACAGATTCAACACAACCCCAGAGACCAGACGATATACGAATGGAAGTCTGACTGGAATCAATTCGGATCCTTCTTATCAAAGACTAAGTAATTGGAACTCTGACACCTCAGTTAAATTTAAATCCAATGCAGACGTTACTAAGAAAACTGGCTATAAGATGGATCAGGGCAATTTGAGCACGTCACTTGGAGGAAACTACAAAAAACGCGTGTGGAGATCGACGAAAAATTCAGAAATCCACAGAAGTAACACGGATCCTTCAAGAAGACCAAAATCCGAAACACAACACGGTATAAGACACTGGGAGTCACCGAGGGCTCGAATGAAGCAAAACACGTCTAGTGAAAAACAAAGCAAACGCAAGCGAAGATCGACGACACATCAAGACATTCAAGTTGATGAAACATTGCCAAGAAAGAGCATAGATTCTTCGTCAAGACTAAAAAGAGACTCCGGTTTCGTTCCACCACTGTCCTTCCCTTCCTTTTTCGAAAGCGAAATTTCTCCGGGAGAAGCTAACCTAGGGCCGCCTTTGCCCAACGCCGGAGCACAAATCGCATCTGGTCTCAATTTCATTTCACAGAGAGAAACCTCGGGAAAAGTATCACATCCTCAGAATTCGAACATAAACTATCCCAAGAAACCGTTCCAAGAGACCAATAATAACCTGGTTCACCCAACACAAGGTCCTCGAACGTACGGGAGTCGACAGAGTAATCGACATCGACAAAACAATGCCCCTTGGACACCACCAGTGATGCAAAATTTCCACTCTCTTCCTGATGCTACGGAAGTTCTTCGTGTTACTACGCCACCATCCACTACGACGACGACAACGACGACTACAACGGAATCGGAAGTTGACGACGAGAGGGAACCCGCAGGATGTATGAAAGTTTACAGAAGGTCAGGAACTCAGGCAAGCGTCTCGGCTGAAAGACGGACAACTGCACGACCGAATCGGGACTTCGAAGATTACGATGATCCGGAATTCGACAGATTCAGAAGACGAAACAGGTAAAAAAAAAAATACCAGAAGCACCTCTGGTACAAGATTCAGAAAATCTCGCAAACGTAGGTTGACCAAGTATTCTTTCCAGATAAATTCAAACGGGATTATTGGGTTACACGTGAAATTTGAGAACTCTCTGTTCT